TCACTGGAACACCTCAGCAAGCAAGAGTCCAAAAGTGGCAGGCTCAAACCTAGAACCTCAACCCATGGGTGATACCAGATGAGAGACTCCCTCCTGGGCACATGGAAGACGGGGCGACTTGGAATGCGCTGAACAGACTGCGCTCTGGCACCACAAGATGCAGAGCCAACCTCAAGAAATGGGGCCACAAAGTGGAATCCACGACATGCGAGTGTGGAGAAGAGCAAACCACTGACCACCTGCTGCAATGCAACCTGAGCCCTGCCACATGATGCACAAGGGAGGACCTTCTTGCAGCGACACCAGAGGCACTCCAAGGGGCCAGATACTCCTCAAAGGACATTTAAGCAACTACCAAACTCACAAATTTTGTATTTTGTCTGTCTGTTTGTTTTGTTCTGTTAGAAATGTAATACAATGGTCTGGTATATACACTCAGAGGCTATTTAACATTCCAGTTCTGGCCACCAGGGGAGCTGTCGCTTCACCGTCCATTTGTGACACTGATGAAGTACTTCCTCATTCTTTGCATACTTCCTGGAGATTTTTATGGCCTCGTAAATCAGTTACATTAGCCTCCCCACATAAGTGGTACCTAAATTTCCTACTGTCTTTCGGGATGCAAAGGTTGACAACAAGCTACCCAACTAGACTTATTGTCAGGGGAAACCTTTACCTTAGTGTTATGTATGTATATCCTGAATTCTCCTCTTGATTCAGGAGCAAAGTCACTCAAAATCTTGAAAAGAACATGCAGTTTCAGACCTGCAGCATTTACGTATTGACCTAGAAGGCTACTTATTAAACCAGGCCAGGCCAAATTTAATGTGAACGCATGCCGATACCAAGTGACGGGGCTGATATCACTGACTTGTGCTCTTCAGATCTGGAATCTGTGGATTCGGATGGCCAGCCGTACGTACTTGTATTCATTCTGACTCGGTTTCGTTTGCTTCTGGCTGGTTGGAGGTGAGTCAGGTCCTCTAAATCTTCTCTTCTTTTGCTCCACACCCAGGTCACTTCACACACACTTGCGTTTGCAACCTTCCTGTTGCTCTCCAACACAATGGCTGGCAAAAGATCTTTCACCCTCGAGGATGACGTGGATTGTTATGCCACCTTATTACTATTAATGTGAAGTAAAGCATGAGTGGGGTGGCTCGTTCTCTGCCTCCAATTCTCTTTGAAGCAGGGAGTCAACAAGCTGGAAGGGGCACCCAGAGGCCATCCAGTCCTACAACATCCCTGGAGAATGCACCTCACTTACATACTTACTTAGGTGATCCCTCATTGTCTGAGTAAGATTGTCCTCCAAGTTCGGTGTCCTGGCGGTGGGTCCGTAGGTGACTGTGGAGCCCTATTCTTGACCCGCATGTTCTCCCGCAGTGAGGGCATCGGTTTCCAGGTGGAAGGCAGTCCCGGTCAGGGTTGGCTTGACGCATCTTCCTCTTGGTACGTTTCTCTCTTTCGCCCTCCACTCGTGCCTCCTCGAATTCTGCAGCACTGCTGGTCACAGCTGTCCTCCAGCTGGAGCGCTCAAGGGCCAGGGCTTCCCAGTTTTCAGTGTCTATGCCAGAGTTTTTAAGGTTGGCTTTGAGCCCATCTTTCAATCTCTTTTCCTGCCCACCAACATTTTCTGTTCTTGAGTTCGGAGTAGAGCAACCACTTTGGGAGACGGTAGTCAGGCATCCGGACAACGTGGCCGGTCCAACAGAGTTGATGGCAGAGGAGCATTGCTTCAATGCTGGTGGTCTTTGCTTCTTCCAGCATGTTGACATTTGTCCGCTTGTCTTCCCAAGAGATTTGCAGGATTTTTCAGAGGCAGCATTGATTGAATCGTTCCAGGAGTTGCATGTGACGTCTGTAGACAGTCCATGTTTTGCAGGCATATAGCAGGATTGGGAGGACAATAGTTCTATAAACAAGCACCTTGGTCTCCCTACGGATGTCCCGGCCCTCAAACACTCTCTGCTTCATTTCCCCACCAGCAGACAAAAGTCCTTTGTCCCACCCTGGTCATTCCACAGATATATAAACCCTTTTTCCTAGTTCCAATAGACCTCACTACCTCTGAGGATGCTTGCCATAGATGCAGGCGAAACGTCAGGAGAGAATGCCTCTAGAACATGGCCATATAGCCCGAAAAAACCTACAACAACCCAGAATATACTGTGTTTCCTGATGGTCTTTGGCGACCCCTCTGACAGTCACTCGTGACCCCTCCATGGGTCCCGACCCCCAGGTTGAGAAATGCTGTTCTAATAAGAGTAATACATGTGCGTCCCATTTGAAAGAAAAGCTTCCCAATCCTATACTGGGATAGAGTCTGACAATATTTATCAGGACAGGAAATCAATAACAACACTCACAAAACACGAAAATTCCAGACAGGAAATAACCAGGACCAGCTAACACTTCCCAACAAAGGATTCCCCCAGGCAGGAAGCAGCCAGGCTTTGAAGCTGCAAGGCCACTCAGTGTTAATCAGTCGCCGAAAGGCTGAGAAAGGCAGTATACAAATACAGTAGGACCAGCTAACACCTCCCAACAAAGGATTCCCCCAGGCAGGAAGCAGCCAGGCAAACATTGAATGCCAGGAGAAGAATTCATTATATGCATACATAAACATTAAAAAACATTTATCTCGATATTAAAATACACCGTTTAAACCCGTCTTGGTCATCTGCGTCAAATCTAATTGGCCTGGTAAAGTTTCCTTGCAACATTCACACTTGCCTCCAACAGACAAGAGTTCTTTCTCCCACCCAAAACATTTATTCCACAGGAATATATATATATATATATATATATATATATATATATATATATATATATAAACCCCACTTGCCTAGTTTCCAACAGACCTCACAACCTCTGAGGATGCCTGCCATAGATGTGGGTGAAACGTCAGGAGAGAATGCTTCTGGAACATGGCCAGGCAGCCTGGGAAACTCTGGCACAAACTCTTTCAGCAGCTGTCATACAGCATTTTGAAACGCAACCATATTTTTCTTTCTGACTAGCCATCCCCTGCCACGCATTGCTGTGGCCCAGTCTGTGTATATATGTTATGTGTATGTGTATATATATTTGTGTATATGTGTGTTTGTGTATATATGTGGTTTTGCGCATGTGTTGTAATGCAATTTTTATTTTTTGGCTTTTTAAGTCTCTTCTGCTAAGTTTTTCAGTGTTTTTATGAGTGATGTGTGCTTGTGTACATATGTGTGTGTGTGTGTATTTTTGTGTTTATATGTGTACATGCATATGGTGTATATGTGTGTGCTTGCCTATATGCATATTTGTGTGTATATTATGTATGTATGTGGATATGTATATGTGTGTGCATGTGGATAGGTATATATGTTTGTGTGCATATATATGTGCATTTGTATATGTGTATATTTGTGTGTTTGTGCATATATATGTGTGTGTGTATGAATGTGTGTATGTGTGTGTATATATATTTGTGTATTTGTGTGTCTATATGTGTACATGCATATTGTGTATATGTGTGTGCTTGCCTATATGCATATTTGTGTGTATACATATATGTATGTATGTGGATATGTATATGTGTGTGCATGTGGATATGTATATATGTATGTGTGCATGTGTATATGTGTATGTATGTGTATGTATATGTATGTGTGTATATGTGTATATTTGTGTGTTTGTGCATATATATACTTGTGTGTATGAATGTGTGTATGTGTGTGTATATATATTTGTGTATTTGTGTGTTTATATGTGTACATGCATATGATGTATATGTGTGTGCTTGCCTATATGCATATTTGTGTGTATATATGTATGTATGTGGATACGTATAGGTGTGTGCATGTGGATATGTATATATGTATGTGTGCATGTGTATATGTGTGTGTATGTGTATGTGTATATATGTATATATTTGTGCGTATGTGTATATATTTGTGTATTTGTGTGTTTATATGTGTACATGCATATTGTGTATATGTGTGTGCTTGCCTATATGCATATTTGTTTGTATATATGTATGTATGTGGATTTGTATAAGTGTGTGCATGTGGATATGTATATATGTATATGTGCATGTATATATGTGTATGTATATGTAGATATGTATATATTTGTGTGTGTGCATATATATACATGTGTGTGTATGAATGTGTGCATGTGCATATGTATATGAGTGTATATGTATATACAGTGTATTTTGGGAGGGTTCAAGTCTGTTCTGCTGGGGTTTGGTGTGTGTGTGTGTGTTTATGGGTGATGGGCACTCGTTGGACTCTTAGGTATATTGTGTCCAAGTTTTGTGTCAATTCGTCCTGTGGTTTTTGAGTTATGTTAATCCCACAAACAAACATTACATTTTTATTTATATAGATAAAACTACAAGAGAGGAGATTCCACTTGAACATGAGGAAGAACTTCCTGACTGTGAGAGCCGTTCAGCAGTGGAACTCTCTGCCCCGGAGGGAGTGTGGTGGAGGCTCCTTCTTTGGAAGCTTTTAAACAGAGGCTGGATGGCCATCTGTCAGGGGTGCTTTGAATGCAATATTTCTACTTCTTGGCAGAATGGGGTTGGACTGGATGGTCCATGAGGTCTCTTCCAACTCAAGGATTCTATGATAGATGACATCCTTGGCCAGACCCAGACCTGGGCAAACTTCAGCACTCCCTCCAGGTGTTTTGGAGTTATTGTGGGAGTTGGAGTCCAAAACACCTGGAAGGAGGGCCATAGTTTGTCTAGGGCTTGTTTACAGCCGTCCCAAGAAGAGCTTTCCTTGTGTCTGTGGGACTCACCATCTCGGCCTCTTCTCCCTCGTTGAGCAAGGTCCTGTGGCTCCCTCCATGTGGGTCCCCCATCAGGTAGATGAGACCGTGCTCTCTTGTCCTTCTCCCTTCCTTCCTTGGTTCTTTTCTTCTTGCTCAAGGTAGCACCAGTGCTGAGCTCATGCGGCTGAAGGAACTGTCCATGGCCACCACCTTATAAACACCCTGAGGAGCCTTGCGAGGCGGGACGCGCCCTCCTCCCCTGATTCACCTGGCAGGTCATCCGGCAGCTTCAGGTCGGAGCCTTCTTCTTCCTCCTCGTTCTCCTCCTCCTTCTTGCCAGGAACCCGGTCTGTTCTTGCCCTCAGAGAGAGAGAGCTGCCCGCCCTTGCCAAGTCTGTCCGGCCCTGGGGACAGGCCAAAAATGGGGGAATACTTGGCCTGCAGAGATTATGGGATTTACCTGACTTGCGGCGCTCGCTTGACAGAAGCAGAAAAGCAGGTCTTGTGTGATCTCGCGCTCCCTCCTCCTCTGCCTCTGAAACTTTTAACCTGAGCCACATGCAACCGGTTCCAAAAACTTGGCCGCGCTTCCAGACGGAGCAGAGACCGGCCTTTCTGGCTCTGCTTGGCAGGCACAGCCAGGCAAAGCTCTGCGGCCACCCAGGGATGGGTCCGGCACATGCGGCAGCCTGGACCAAGTCCCCAAGTGGGCCAGCAACTCTGCTTTGGGGCCACAATTCCTGCATGGCACAGGGATGGACTACCTCAGGCATACTTACTCACTCACTTACTTACTTACTTACTTAGGTGATCCCTCATAGCCTAGGAATGATGATCCACCAAGGTGGGTGTCCTGGCACTAGGTCCGCAGGTGGCCGTGGAGACCTATTCTTGACCTGCATCTTCTCCCGCAGTGTGGGCATCGGTTTCCAGATGGAAGGTGGTCCCAGTCGGGGTTGGCTTGATGCATCTTCCTCTTGGCATGTTTCTCTTTTTCACCCTCCATTTGTGCCTCATCAAATTCTACAGCACTGCTGGTCACAGCTGACCTCTAGCTGGAGCGCTCAAGAGCCAGGGCTTCCCAGTTCTCAGTGTCGGTGCCAGAGTTTTGAAGGTTGGCTTTCAGCCCATCTTTCAATCTCTTTTCCTGCCAGAATGGATGTTCAAAGAACTTCTAACTGTGCTAAGACACAAAAGAGACATGCACAAGAAGTGGGAAAAGGGAGAAATCACCAAAGAAGAATTCAAACAAATAGCCAACACCTGTAGGGAAAAGGTCTGCAAGGCTAAAGCACAAAACGAGCTCAGGCTTGCCAGGGACATTAAAAACAATACAAAGGGATTCTTTTCTTATGTCAGTAGAAAAAGGAAGAACAAGGAGGCGATAGGGCCTCTTCGAGGAGAAGATGAGGCAATGCTGACAGGGACTGGTGGTCTTTGTTTCTTCCAGCACGTTGACATTTATCCACTTGTCTTCCCAAGAGATTTGCAGGATTTTCCGGAGGCAATGCGGATGTAATTGTTCCAGAAGTTGCATGTGACGTCTATAGACAGTCCACATTTCGCAGGCGTATAGCAGGGTTGGAAGGACAATAGCTTTATAAACAAACACCTTGGTGTCCCTACGGATGTCCTGGTCCTGAAACACTCTCTGCTTCATTTGGAAAAATGCTGCACTTGTAGAGCTCAGGTGGTGTTGTATTTCAGTGTCAATGTTGACTTTTGTGGAGAAGTGGCTGCATTGGCTTCCAGGTGGAAGGCGGTCCTGGTCGGGGTTGGCTTGACGCACCTTCCTCTTGGCATGTTTCTCTTTTTCACCCTCCATTTGTGCCTCATCAAATTCTGCAGCACTGCTGGTCACAGCTGACCTCTAGCTGGAGCACTTAAGGGCCAGGGTTTCCCAGTTCTCAGTGTCGATGCCACAGTTTTGAAGGTTGGCTTTGAGCCCATCTTTCAATCTCTTTTCCTGGCCTCCAACAGTAAGTTTTCTTCCTGAAAACTGTACAGAAATGAACATGAGGAAGAACTTCCTGACTGTGAGAGCCGTTCAGCAGTGGAACTCTCTGCCCTGGAGTGTGGTGGAGGCTCCTTCTTTGGAAGCTGTTAAACAGAGGCTGGATGGCCATCTGTCAGGGGTGATTTGAATGCAATATTCCTGCTTCTTGGCAGGAGGGTTGTCACAGGATGGCCCATGAGGTCTCTTCCAACTCTTTGATTCTTTGATTCTTTGATTCTAACTGCTTTGGGAGATGGTCGTCAGGCATTCAAACAACGTGGCCGATCCAGCGGAGTTGATGGCAGAGGACCATCACTTCAATGCTGGTGGTCTTTGCTTCTTCCAGTACGCTGACATTTGTCCGCTTGTCTTCCCAAGAGATTTGCAGGATTTTCCGGAGGCAGCATGATGGAATCGTTCCAGGAGTTGCATGTGACGTCTGTAGACAGTCCACGTTTCGCAGGCATATAGCAGGGTTGGGAGGACAATACTGCTAAAACTACCTCAGGTCTCCCTACGGATGTCCCAGTCCTCAAACACTCTCTGCTCCATTCGGAAAAATGCTGCACTTGCAGAGCTCAGGCGGTGTCGTATTTCAGAGGCAACGCTGATAGAATCGTTCCAGGAGTTGCATGTGATGTCTGTAGACAGTCCACGTTTTGCAGGCATATAGCAGGGTTGGGAGGACAATAGCTTTATCAACAAACACTTTGGTCTCCCTACGGATGTCCCAATCTGCTCCATTCGGAAAAATGCTGCACTTGCAGAGCTCAAGCAGTGTTGTATTTCAGAGGCAACGCTGATGGAATCGTTCCAGGAGTTGCATGTGATGTCTGTAGACAGTCCACGTTTGGCAGGCGTATAGCAGGGTTGGGACACTTTGGTCTCCCTACGGATGTCCCAGTCCTCAAACACTCTCTGCTCCATTCGGAAAAATGCTGCACTTGCAGAGCTCAGGCGGTGTTGTATTTCAGAGGCAACGCTGATGGAATTGTTCCAGGAGTTGCATGTGATGTCTGTAGCCAGTCCACGTTTTGCAAGCGTATGGCAGGGTTGGGAGGACAATAGCTTTATAAACCTTGGTCTCCCTACAGATGTCCTATTCCTCACACTTCGGCCTTCGCAGTGTTTTGGACTTCAACTCCCATTATCGAGTTGAAGTTCAAAGTTTGCCCATGCCCAGACTAGATGGCCCCTGTGGCCTCTTCCAACTCAAATATTCTATGCTTTTATGGTCACATCCCAGCTCATCAGGCAACTCTGGGTTGCACCTACATTGTACAATTAATGCCATTTGGCACCACTTTGACTGCCATGGCTCCACACGGTGGAATCATCAGAATTGCAGTTTGGTGATCTTCCAGCTCTCTTTGGCAAAGAAGACCAAATACCTTGTCAAACCACCCATCTCACGATTGCATAGCACCGAGTCATGGAAGTTCAAGTGGGGTCAACCCGCATTCATTTTGTGTTGTAGATGCACCCTGTGCTCCTTTTTGTGGTATCCCTGGGAGGGAAACAAAGCCCTGAGTCAGTCTGGATTGGTAAGAAGAAGGTTCAGCAGGAACTGCAAGAAGGCGAGGTGGATTAATAATAGTAGGAGTAGGAGTTGTAGTAAACGCTGAGCTGAAATCATGGAATCAAATAATCATAGAGTTTGCGGAGACCCAAAGAGCCATTCAGTCCAACCCCATTCTGCCAGGCAGGAAAAGCACAATCAGAGCATCCCCGAGAGACAGCCATCCAGCCTKTGCTTTGAATCCATGGCTCAATTGTGACCTAGGACCTCAGRTATTTAACCTCAGCAGACTGAAAGCCAAAACCAAGGTTACAACAACATCCATTATAGAACTCCAGTATGCTGATGACAACGTCATCTGTGTGCATTCAGAAGAAGATCTACAAGCCACTCTAAACACCTTCGCAGAAGCTTACSAGAAGCTCGGCCTGTCATTAAACATTGAGAAAACCAAAGTCCTCTTCCAGGAGTCACCYGCCAATCCTTCTCCAATGCCAGAAATGCAACTTAATGGTTTAACATTAGAAAATGTTGACCATTTCCACTCCCTTGGCAGCCACCTCTCCACAAAAGTCAACATTGACACCAAAATACAACACCGCCTGAGCTCTGTGAGTGCAGCTTTCTTCTGAATGAAGCAGAGAGTGTTTGAGGACCAGGACATCCGTAGGGATACCAAGGTGCTTGTTATAAAGCTATTGTCCTCCCAACCCTGCTATACGCTTGCGAGACGTGGACTGTCTACAGATGTCACATGCAACTCCTGGAACGATTCTATCAGCGCTGTCTCCAGAAAGTCCTGCAAATCTCTTGGGAAGACAAATGGGGAAATGTCAGCGTGCTGGAAGAAGAAGCAAAGATCACCAGCATTGAAGCAATGGTCCTTCACTATCAACTCAGCTGGACCGGCCACTGCCCGACTACCGTCCGAATGCCCGACTACCGTCTCCCAAATTCTCTTCTCCAATCTCTTCTCATATGTTCCTCATAAGGCTTGGTTTCCAATCCTTTGATCGCTTTGGCTTCCTGTCTCTGGACACGTCTCCTTCTTGACTTGCTTTGCCCAGAAGTGGACCCAAGGTTGTTCCGGGTGAGGCCTGAACAAAGCAGAAGAGAGCAGTACTATAACTTCCATCTAGACAGGGCATGGCCAAACCTTATCCCTCCAGGTGTTTTGGACTCCAACACCCACAATTCCTAACAGACAGTTTGTTGCACTCCAGGACAGGAAAAGCCCTCTGACTTTAAACACCACACTGTTGGATGGAAAACAATCCTTGTATTGAAAATAATTAAAAAGCGGTGAGGTAAAAAAGCACTTTAAAGAAATAGGTAAATCCAATTAGGTAGGAAGATAAGCAGGAACAAAGTAGTCCAGAGTGATAGTCCAGCAAAGTCCATAAAAACAAAGTCAATACTTCCCAAATAAAAGGCAAGAAATCAGGAAACATGAATCTAAGGCATGAATGCATAAGCTTAGATCAAAACATGAAGTTTCCATGAACAAGGACGAGGTCTTGACTTGATTCCAAACAATGCTTCATCTGACTACATATCCTGTACTTGGGACTTTTATCTCCTCATTAGCTATGTCTCAGAAACTGGTTTCACTTTAGCTGAGAATTTCTTATCTTTTTCTCTCGAAACCTGGCAGACCGCCGAAGCCACTGTTCAGCTCTCCTGTTTTGACTGATCTCCGCCCATCCATCTCTTTGCTCATTAATTTCTGCAGCTAGGGCAAAGCATCCTGATCCTGGAACACAATCACAGGCTGAACTCCAACGCAGTTGAAGTCCAAAACACCTGGAGGGACAAGGTTTGGGCATGCCTGATATATGATATATCACTAAACCTAAGCAACCATTTAACTAGGCACTACAACAGACAACAAAACTACATCGAGCAAACCCACAAACACAGTACATATCTACATTAATGGGTGCATACTACATATGACTAACTGCAGAAGTTACTGAACAAACCTCACAATTATTTGTTGATGTTTACTCCTTGTAATCCTACTCCCTTTAGATCAGTGTTTCTCAACCTTGGGGTCAGGACCCCTGAGGGCGTTGTGAGGGGGGTGTCAGAGGGGTCACAAAAGACATCAGAAAACACAGTATTTTCTGTTGGCCATGAGGGTTCTGTGTGGGAAGTTCTGGCCCA